AAAACAATATTAGAAATCTTCGACCATTCGGGAATTATTTTGCTTGAAAATTAATTCGCCTGTCTTTGACCATCTTTACGCAGTGATCTCCCCTGAATTTTTCGGTGTTAGTGTACATATAAAGGGAAGTAACCGCTTCAAGAAAGTGGACTACTTTCGGCGTTTGCAATTAACAACATTAGACTCTGAAATTTCGCTACCATTATTTGTTTGGTCTGACGACCCAAACAAATAAAAATTGAACAAAGGGCACTAACTCCAAAATTAAGCAAGGCAGAGTTATGATTATTTGCACTGTACATCTACCTAATGAGTTCTATCTACCTATCAAGTTTCTTGTTGAAACTTCTTATGGTTTCAGAGCTATGTTCGGGACAAAGTTCAAAGTAAAAAAAAAATAATAAAGGGCAATAACTCAAAAAATAGGCAAGAAAGAGTTATGGTTCTTTTACACTGCATTATATCTACCCAATTAGATCTTTCTGCTTATAAAGTTAAATGTTGATACCTCTCGTAGTATTAGTTATGTCCCAGACAAACTTCAAAAAGTCAAAATAACTCCAAAATAAGGCAAGGTAGACTTATGGTTCTTTTATACTCAAATTTACCTAATGAGATCTATATACCTACAAAGTGTCTTATTGATACCTTTTATGATTTCAGAGTGATGGCCCAGACTAAGATCAAAGTGTAAGAATGGACAAAGGGCAGTAACTCCAAAGTTAGGCAAAGCAGAGTTATGGTTCTTTCCCTCAATTCTTCACAATGAGAATTATCTACCTACAATGTTACATGTTGATATCTCTTATAGCTTCAGGTTATCATTCTTGTGCGCTGCACTCGTCCTTAATGAGATCTATCCACCTATGAAGTTTCAAGCTGATACGTCTAACACTTTTTGAGATAAGCTCCGGACAAAAAGTTTGAAAAATAATAAAGGGCAATAACTCAAAAATTATAAAAGGTAGAGTTATCATTCTTGCGCACAGCATTCCTCCTCAATAAGATAAATCCGACTATGAAGTTTCATGTTGACATCTCAAAGACTTTTTGAGTTATGCTCCACTCGGGTGGAAAATTAAGTATGAAAAATAACAAAGGGCAATAACTAAAAAACTATGAAGGGTCGACTTATCATTCTTGTGCACTGCATACCTCTTGAGTAAGATCTATCCACCTATGAAGTTTCATGTTGATATCTCACAGACTTTTTGAGTTATGATCTGGACAAAAATTAAGTTTGAAAAATAACAAAGGGCAATAATTAAAGTAATTTGCAGGGTAGAGTTATCATTCTTGTGCACTGCACTCCTCCTCACTATTATCTATCCACCAATAAAGTTTCAAGTTGATACCTCACATATTTTTGAGATATGATCTGGACAAAAATGTCCGATGGACAGAAGGTCGGACGGACGGACGGACATAGATTATTTCTATATCCCCTGTCGCCTTTCGGCGGTGGATAAAAACAAACAAAGGGCAATAACTCCAAAATAAGGAAAGGCAGAGTAACAGGTACTTTTGCATCGCGTTTCTACTTATTGAGATCTATCTACCTACAATGTTTCATGTTGATATCTCTTGTTGTTTAGGAGTTATGTCCCGGACAAGAAAAGCGAACGGAAGGACATTGGGAAGGACAAAGTTGCTCATCTTTCAGGAAGCATAAAAATTGACAGCAATATCACAGCTATGAAAGATTTGATTCACATGCAGTTTTAAAGCAGACGAAAAAAAAACAAGAGCCACCGCCGGGCGGGGTCTACGCTCGACTTTTTACTTTTTCCAAAGGCAAACAAAGAAATGTTTGAACAAATCTTAACGTTTCCTTTTTATAAATTTAATCGGTCTGTCCTGTCACATTAGTTTTGTCTATATATAATTTGTATTATATAAATAAACTCATTTACATATATACATAGATATACAGATATACATATATACATATATATATATATATATATATATATATATATATATATATATATATTATATATATATATATATATATATATAAACAAGCAATGCTTTAAATAGAAAACAAATCTTAACGTTTCCTTTTTATAAATTTAATCGGTCTGTCCTGTCACATTAGTTTTGTCTATATATAATTTGTATTATATAAATAAACTCATTTACATATATACATAGATATACAGATATACATATATACATATATATATATATATATATATATATATATATATAACCGCCTCCGCGGTCGAGGGTTAGAGTCGATGACTTCTAATCCAATTACCTCTCTGGCGTGGGTTCGATCCCCGGGAGATGCTTTGGTAGTTTAGCGCGGAGGAAGGTAGTTTAGTACTGGTGTAACTCTCCAGGAACGATGGTTAGGAAACTACCCGCCTATATGACTGAAATACTGTTGGAAAAAGGCGTAAAATGAAACAAACAAACAACAAACAAACAATATATATATATATATATATATATATATATATATATATATATATATATATATATATATATATATATATATATAAACAAGCAATGCTTTTAAATAGAAACAAGCAATTCTACAAATAGAAACATGCAATACTAGAAATAGAAAATTCTATTAATAGAAACACGCAATTCAATAAATAGAAAATTCTATAAATAGAAACACACAATTCTATAAATAGAAACTTCTATACATAGAAACACGCAATTCTATAATAAGAAACTTCTATAAATAGAAACACACAATTCTATAAATAGAAACACACACTTTTATAAATAGATACACGCAATTCTCTATAAATAGATACACACAATTGTTGTTGATGATGATGATGATTTATAAATATATATATATATATATATATATATATATATATATATATATATATATATATATATATATATATATATATATATATATATATATATATACATACACACACACACACCAATGGTCATTTAATTTACAAATCTGAGAAAATTCAGTAATTTAACCTTTAAGGTCAAGGTCATTAAAGAGCCCAAGTCAATTTCGGTTTGATAAACAACAAGGGCTTGTCCTTAAGAATGTTCTGTTATAATATGACGATGTTCCCTTCAATAATAGCAAAGTTGCAGCCAGTAACAGTCATAACAATGAAAATTTCAATAATTTGACCTTCAAAGTCAAGGTCATTAATGAGTGAAGGTCAAGGTCTGTCTTGTTATTTTTAAGGGTTATCCTTGAAGATTATTATGTTCAATATGGAAGACGATCCATTAAAAAAACAAAGTTACAGCCAATAATAGTAAAACAAAAATGAAAATTTCAATAATTTGACCTTCAAAGTCAATGTCATTTATGAGTGAAGGTCAAAGTCTGTCTGGTTATTTTTAAGGGATATCCTTGAAGATTATTATGATCAAGACAATCCATTCAAAAAAAACAAAGTTAAAGCCAATAATAGCAAGAACATGCAAAATTTGGACTTTTGGCCTTGAAGGTCAAGGTCATTTATGGATAAAGGTCAGGGTTAGTGTGGTCTTCTGAAAGGTCTTGTTCCAAGGGTTGTTGTGGCCAAGTATGCGGACGGCAACGCCGCCGCGACTATCACAATACCTCTTTTTTTTTCAAACAAGATTTAGTAAGAGTTACCAACGTCCCCCGCCTCGGAAAGTTTTATATGAAGCATAAAATTGTGCTATTTCAAAAGATTGAGGTATGGATCTCAAGACATTCAGTCCAAAATTATGATCAATGCTAGATCTGCAAATGCAACAATATTTTGTTAAAAAAATAAAATGAAACACGGAATTTAAAAATCTATCATGTTAAGCTTTGACCTCTAAGTGTGACCTTGACCTTGGAGGTAGGGGAGCAGGTGTTGTGCCATTACATAACGTCGTATTATTGAGACTATTTGTGCAAAGTATTTTCAAAATCCCTTGAACTATGAAGAAGTTATAGATTGGACACAAAATATACCCTATAACAGACTATGTAAATCTTTGACCTCTAAGTGTGACCTTGACCTTGGAGGTAGGGACACAGATGTTACGCATGACATATCATCTTATCATTGTGACTATTTGTGCCAAGTATTTTCAAAGTCCCTTGATCTATGAAGAAGTAAAGGACCGGACACAAAATATACAATATAACAGACTGTGTTAACCTTTGACCTCTAAGTGTGACCTTGACCTTGGAGGTAGGGGTGCAGGTGTTGTACTTGACATATCGTCTTATTATTGTGACTTTTTGTGCCAAGTTATTTTAAAATCCCTTGAACTATGAAAAAGTTCTAGATCCGACACAATATATACCCTATAACAGACTATAATAATTTTTTACCTCTAAGTGTGACCTTGACCTTGGAGGTAGGGATGCAGGTGTTGCGCATGACACATCCTCTTATTATAGTGACTATTTGTGCGAAGTATTTTCAAAATCCTTTGATCTATGAAAAAGTTATGGACTGGACACAAAATATACCCTGTAACAGACTATGTAAGTATTTGACCTCCAAGTTTGACCTCGGTTTTTGCACATGATACATCGTCTGATAATTGTGAACAGTTATGGCAAGTATTTACAAAATTCTTTCATAGATAAGAAAGCTATGGACCGGACACGACATATACCCTCAAATAGACAATGTTGACCTTGAATGAGCAAGTGCGACCTTGACACTGGAGGTAGGATCCTGGTTTTGCGCATGACACATCGTTTTATTATAATAAACATTTAAGCCAAGTTATTTCAAATTCCTTTTATAAATGACAAAGTTATGGACCAGACACGAAAGTGTGACAGACGGACGGACGGACAGACGGACGGTTCAATTACTATATGCCCGGGGGCATAAAAACAAAAAAAAAACAACAAAAACCATACAGTATTTGTTTAATTTTGCGTCATGGAAATATTTGCAATTTTTGTGAATTGAAATTATTCGCAAATATCTGATCGCGCAAAAATTACTTCTTTTTATCAAACTTTCTTCATTTGAAATTTACGTTTTCATGCAGCATCTAACATGAATAAGTCTGACTGTTCAGATTCTGAGATTTATTTTTCCCATTGCTTGTTTGTTTAAGTCTTGTCTTAAGAAATCACAAATAATATACTGAAACAATATATATGTGTTAATAACACAATAATATTATGTTATTTATTGAGCAAAAGAATGTTTCGAAATATGACAAAGAAATGTTTGATCAGGTCCTTTATCAAACCAACAAAAGGATGTATATATCAAACAAATATATAAATAATAAAGGAAATTAACAACTAAACAGAAGAATAACAGTATATGCTTAACAGGTATCTGCCTAATTAATGATATCACGAACACAGTATTAAATTCAAGAAATCATATTTTCGCAAATATTTCCGTACGCAAAAAGTCCACCTTTTGACATTCACAGAATTTTTGTGACGCATAGATATTCACTTATACATTATCATCATCATTTCCAACACATATAATGCATAGTTAGTTAAAAATCCATCCAGGAATTACAGAATTGTAAATAGGATGCAACTCTGTTCTTCAAAATTATCCCATTAAAGGCATGACTTGTGACATGTCCAGGGGTCCGTAATTGACAGCAAAAGCTGCATTTTGTGCCTTAACAGGCCGATGGACCCTCATTTAGCATAGACTACATACATACATAGATAATTTTTATTTGTTCAAAGAGAGCAATCTTAATTTCTTAAAGGGAATAGAAAATTTGATTTGCTTTTAATAATACATACTTTACAGCTAAAAGAGTTACCTTGAGCAAATATTTTTACCAACTTTGGTACCAAATATGCTCATTTGTTTACAACTCTACACCATACACCTTTTCATCCCTTTAATTTCCTAACACGTTTTCAGACACATTAAGCACTTTTCAAGAACCAAATTTAATATATTTTTCCCCTTTTTAAAACATTTTTTTAGAAAGGAGTCATTATGATTTAAGCACTATTTAATTTGTACAAAACCTGTCATAGCACTATTTAATTTGTACAAACCTGTCAAACTACAGACAAACTATTAAATCAATTAAATCATATAAAAGATTATAAAATTACCATGCTGTCTGGATTATAAGTACCGCATATGAACTTTAGTGACTTTTTCTTCTTACTTCTTTTTGTGATCACTAAAAGATACAATATGTATGAATAAATGTGGGCTGTGCTTGATAGCAAGTATATTAATAAATGTGGGCTGTGCTTGATTAAACAAGTATAATGTTTGAACATATACCAGACTGATAAGTGATGACATATGTCACCTGATGATAGCCAATTAACCCTTTACCTCATATATACCCGAAACAACACACTTTCGAACCCTTCCCTCTATAAGGCCTAAAATAGTGAAAAAAATGTCCTGTTTTGGCCCCTGGAAACACATGTTTTCGTTTGAGAAATGTTGTTAAAAAAATGACTTTTTCAACTCCCCCCTCCCCTGCCCCTCAACCAAAAGATACATCAGAGGGTTGTCAGGAGGGGGATGTGCCCCCTTCTGATTTGGGAGTTTGAAGGGGGCGGCAGTCCACCTCATCTCCAGGAAAATTTTGTACTTGTGAGACGCTAAAATGATCCCAGATCGATCATAACGTGTAACCAACGCTGAAAGCATTTGACTCTATCTCAATCCATTGAGAAGTTGCAGCACTTTGAAATCAATTTAGATGGAAATAACGCAACAAAAGTGATTTCTTGCAATTTTGAGATGTCCCCTCGTTGCCATGGTAACAGGAAATTTAAGCCTCAGCATGTTGTTACAAAGGCAATGGTCCAGTCAACATTTATGCCAAGTTTGATTAGTATTGAAGCAGTTTTTATAGTTTTATAGCAATTTGAACTTGTAACGGAAGACTTTTCAATGAAAACAGCCATTCTTTACAAAATGCTTATAAAGTAATGGGTTAAGCAATTGTACTGAAGAGTAATTTGACAGTTCATAAGTCATTCAACAGACAAACCAATTAAATATGCAAAAATACTCGAGGTTTGAATCAATCCTGTTACATTTTATATCAAATTGTGTGTTAGTACATTGTTGTAAAACAGAAGTAGTCCCCACAAACTAATTGAACTGAAAAATATTGAAGATATGCACAACTAAACTTGGTACAGATGTACTGAGCATTCCTGATCATAAAACTTTAATTCTTTTTTTCTATATAAGTCAATATAAATGGACATTACCGAAGATATGAACAACTAGACTTGGTACAAATGTACTGATCATTTTTGATCATAAAACTTAAATTCTTTTTTCAATATAAGTCTATATAAATCAAGCGACTCCCAGGGCAGGCCATATCCCGTCCCTAGATTTGCCACTACTTGCCAGCTATTTTCACTGAAAAGGGTGGCATTAAGTGTAAAAAAGGTGAAATTAACTGGAAAATGACAAAATTCCACTCTTTTTCCACTGTAGTGGCAAAATTACAACCAAATGCCATGTTCCTTTGGTGGCATTTTTGTGTCATTGAGTGGAAATTTGAACATAGACTTTTTTCATGGTTGCAAAAAGGTGGAAATTGGTGAAAAATGAAACTTAGTTTATTTTGAAGGTGGAAAATGAGTGGCATTTAGTGGAAAAGTGAAACTCTAACTATTTTCTGGGTGGCAAATTAGTGGAAAAAAAACTAAGAAAATTTTCTGAATAACTTTTAGTCGAAAAGGGAAACTCTTAACTATTTTCTGGGTGGCATGAAAATTGTAGGAAAAAACTTAGAAATTATTGCGCATTGCAGGGTTTATAAGAATTATTTAAGTTAAAGCTCCAAACTAAAATAAATCTGTTTCTAGTTTTTACTCTATCAAAGCATCAAGTGAGCTTTTTATCAAAAATAGAATTAATTAAAATTGAACAGTTAGAAAATTTATCAGACACTAGTATTTCTTAAAAATCTTTTATATGCTGAGAATACTAGAATGCCATGAACACAATTCTGATACAAAGTCACTGCCCATAACAGTATGATGATTCCAGCTGAAAGTAGCAGGAAAGACACTGAAATTGGACATAAAATCACTTTTCCAGGCGTAAAACACACATAATTAATTAAGAGCAAGAAAAATTAGAAAAGTATGGGGTTACTTTTTTTTTCTTTCTTTTTTCAGTACTTTTCTTTAGGGATTTAAAATTTGACTTAAAATCAAAAATGCCTATGTTCCATTCAATGCTTGTAAAATAAAATTACAGCTTAGTTTTTTTAGATGCAATCTGTACATTAAATAGTAATGTTCTTCAAAGGCCCAGAAAATGCATTTTTCTGCATAAACTTTGTTGCTTCTGGTCAATCTTGAATAAAGTTTGACTTGGTCTTTTCTTCTAATTGAGATTTGTCTCTTTAATATTACTTTAAACTGATATCTGGTGAGTACTAACACTTTTCATGTAATGCTTACAATAATTAAAGTGAAAAATGCAAAGGGCAATAACTCCAAAAGTATGCAAAAAAGTAATGGTTCTTAAACACAGCACAATTCTCAAAAAGATCTATATCTGTGAAGTTTCAAATTAATATCTCCAATACTTTTTAAGCTTAATGATCAAGACAAAAATTAAGCATGGAGAAGTACAAAATGGCAATAAACCCCAAACCATGCAATAAAGAGTTATGGTTCCTAGGCCTTGTGCTTCTCATCAATGAGATTTAGTTATATGTAGAGTTTAAAATTATTGTATCTAACATTTTTTGTACTATACTTTGCAGATGAAACTTACAAAGGGCAATAACTCCATAACTTTGCAGGAGAAAGAAACAAACATGAATCAAACTTGTTAACAATAATATTTAAATGTAATTTAATAAATATACATAGAAAATAGATCAGCCTTCAAGATAATGAAGCACTGTGCTTGCTAAATATTATACCTCACTCTACCAAGTCTGTGTCATACACAATATAGTATGCCTTTCAGAGGCTTTAAATCTGTTGTAAAAATAATTATGTGAAAAGTAAATAGCTAATAATGTCTGATAATTTCTTATAATCAGGATAAGTAAATACTAGCTAGTAAATACTGCATCCTCTAAGATTTAACAAAAAGGCATACAACACAGATCTGATAAAACTACTGCCCTCTTATCTAGTAATCTCTGCATAGGGGTTAATAGTTTACTCAAGCTGACCAGACTGTTCCATTTGATTATTTTGGGAGAGGCAACATTATACATTTATATGTAGAATCTGTGTTAAAATAGCACGCTAAATTATCTTTCAAAAACTTATTTCTACTTAATCTATTTAGGTATTAGACATAATTTATACATTTAAATGAATGTAAAAAATAAAATGATGGGTGCTATGGTTTTTGAATAATCCCTCACAGTTTAAAATTATAATGGAACTTTCCAGTTGTACGGTTGTAAAGTTTGAATTCAAAGGAATTGATGTTAGTTAAAGCTTGCAAACACAAAGGAAATGATTGGTATTATAGCAATTCTGGAGATATTATTTTGTTTAAAATGTAAGGGTGCATATTTTTGATTTCTCAAAGAATACATTAAAAGTCTTATTAGTGTGCAAATAGAAATGAGAAGTTCTAACTGAATGTGAATGTGTAGATTATAACATTAGACAAGAAGATAAACAGCAGAATCATTCCAGGTCAAAGTTTCAGGTAAGCAACTTTTACATACAATAATTATTATTATTTATGCAGAAACTATAAAGTTTTTTAACAGTAAAATATGAAGTGGTATTGTATAAAATTATGTTTTAAATTTGTTTTGTTTGTAACTTGACTAAAAAGGAAAGCTGCATGTACATATAAAGAATGTAGGAATATAAAGAATGTAGGAAGAGCTTCATCATTTCTTAAATACAGTATGTTAGAAATTTTAAGTTTGAGAAAATAATTATAGAAATTAATCAGTAAGTACAATATCATTATGTACAATATTACATCAATCAAACTATAGATAACCAGGTACCTATTACTACAACTTTCATGCTATAAACATTTTTCTTGTGTGTCACATGTGAAGCAGATCAACAGTAACTGTTTTATTAGTAAGTTTCATTCCTTCATTGTTGTAATTCAGCTTTCATGGTGCAGAAGATATATAACCATAACTAGACAGTCTAGAGTAACAAGCTGTTAGGAGAATGACAGTTAATAACAGAAACAGGATTAAATAAGATTTTTTTTTTCCAGACACAAAGCAATGAGGAGTAACCTGGAGCAACGTGCTTGTTCTTCAGTGATTTACAATTAAGGTATCTATCTTGTTTTGTTTCTCAGTTAATTCAAAGATTTTAGAATTGATAGGAAAAAAGTGTCACAGTACACAATTAGACACTTTTCAGTTCTTAATAAATATAGCTATTAGGCACTATTTACAAACTTACTTTTATTCAAACTCTTTATGACATTTTAATTTGCATTTACATTTGAGCCTTGTCATAACAAAACCAACTTAGTGGCATTGCGACCAGCATAGATCCAGACCAGCCTGCGCATCCACGCAGTCTGATCAGGATTCATGCTGTTCCCTTCCTTACAAACCCTATTACAAGTAGAGAAACTGATAGCGAACAGCATGGATCCTGATCAGACTGCGCGGATTATTTCGTTTTACAAATTTTAGAGTTTTTGTACACCTAAGTTTGAAAATTTTGTCAAATATTTATCCTGATGAAGGTTCGTTAAGAACTGAAACTGGAAGATTATTAAATAACTTAACCTGCACTGATGTTGTGTTGTATTTCTTTATTCCCTGCGGTCTGGAGACCGCAGGGTATTGGTACGCGTTTAACTTTTGAGGCATGGAGGAGCACGTGACCTGTTTTCGGTACATGGAGGAGCATGTGATCTGTAAACCGTACATGATTGGTTAATTGACCTTTTCGGAAACCTGGATAAATACCGTTTGCCGGTACGTTACGGATAATCCTCTAGGGAATAAGACACCTAATTAAGAACAAAAAACAAATACGTGATATTTTTAATTTTCTATAATTATGTTACCGTTTTAAGGTGGAAAAACTTGAATGATGTGTTTGAAAATTATCAATGTTTCTTTAATATGTATCTCAAAATGTTACAAACAATAAATTGTTTATACTGAAAATCTACAAAATTAAAATATCCGTAGTGCCGCATCTGCCATGATAAATACTTGTGTGTTTA